CAGGATTGTAGGGTACAGGTTGTTAATAACCTGTTCTACCCCATGCACTGTCCTAAGTACGTTCTTTTTTTTTTCCATCACACCTCATGCATACTTACTGTCCCGCTCTGTGGTCTTCTCTGAGGCACAGAGGCTACTTTATGGAAACCTCTTGCCTTTTAAGATGCATTGTTCCTTTACCCCATAAATGTGTACACCCCTCTTCTTTTTTTTGTCTGATCAGTCCCCTAGTAAACCAGTGCTATAGTCCAAGGTGCAGAATTTTATAGGATCAGTCTCTTGATCTTCTGAAGACATTACAGAAGTCTTTGAACTTGTTTATGGCCTCTTCATATTTTCTACTTCATGTTTAATAGAGTAGAGTGAATAAAAATCGAAGAAAGGAAGTCATATATGGAAAAATATAAATAAAGAACAAGGTGAAAAAATAGATACAATGTGGCATGATCTTTTTGACGTGCTATTCCTTAGGAAGTTTATCATCAGAATAGAAAGGTGTGCTCAGTATCACTGTATAAATAGTTCTAGTAGAGAGCCTAATAGCTGTGTCACTGCTACAACAGAGCCAAATACGAATCCATCTGATTCTATTCTGATTCTAGTTAATAACTTTTGTTGTAATAGAGGCCTGTCTGTTCTCCTTGGGCTCTTTAAATAACCAATAAATCAGTGCTGCAGTTCCAAGGTATAGAATTTCTTAGAGAAGCGTTTTGAAATGACTAAAAGCACTACTGTTCATCTGTATCTTCAGGTCTTCAACTGCCCATTTATTATTTATACCTTCATGCATCTTGGATCGAATAGTTTTATCCATTCTTTTTCTTTTGGCTTCTTTGTCTATCTCTGTTATTCCATTTGACTTATTGGTTAGTGTGAAAAAGTGCATGGAGTACTTTGTAGTGCTCTTCTATGAAGGTGCTGTTCATGCATGCTGAATTAGTTCTGCATTTATGTAATGCATCAGCTTGACAAACTTACATATTTATAGAATGAAATCCAAGGCTGCTTAGGAAGAGCTCTGCTCTGGTGTATGCCTAATCTTTTTCTTTTTATGGTTACTTGTATATGAGAAGGCTTTCCTGTTATGCTTATCTACAATGACCACTGCTCCTTTCAGTGCTTGTGGTGAAGTACATTAGAAACCAGACAAGCCTTTAAAAATTATTTGTCACTACCAGAGTACATTAAATTAATTGTCCTGCAACAGGAGCCCTAATAGTCACATTCTTGCTCTATAGCAAGTTAATTTTGGTCATATAGTAGTCATATATACTCCATATTCTTAGACACATGAACCATCACGATACTAGAGGCAACTACAAGTGCATGCTGTTGTTTCTGGGTAGGACAGCCTTTTGTGACTTCCGTAAAATGGAATCTAACTTTCTGCTTCCTCTTCTTTATAGAATCTGACATTGATGCTGCTACTGCCATGATGCTGTTAAATACTTCCATTGAACAAGGGATGTTGGACTGTAAGCATAAACAGTTTTATCTTTTGTTTTGTCTATAGCTGGTAGTTGAAGACTTAGCCAAAAATTTTAGCAACAAAGTATTCTTTAGCTTATAAGTAGTGGGAAGGAAATAGTGTACCAAATTGGCTTATGCAGCCTCTTCTGCCACCGTGCTCCAGTTTTTTTACAGGTCAACCTTTCTGCTGTTTTTAACTAACTTAATATTTTTCTCTCCCTACATAGATAGACACCTAATTGCAGACTAGTTGTCTACCACTATTTTTGTTCAGATTTGCTGAATGTGCAAGTTTTCCAGTGCTCAGGAGGGCTGCGTATAGACATGGAAAAAACTGAACAAACAGTTTTAGTTTCAGCTTGGTGCACCCCTGTGCCGAGTGCAGTGCATGTCCAAAAGAGGAATCCTGTCAATTTGACCAAGCTCGCCCAGTGTCTCTATAACATACGTGCTTCAGCAGGGCTTTTTGGCACTTTATCTAATAGCTGGTTCAATCAGCTATTAGGAAGAAAAAAAAAAAAAAAAAGCACCAAAAAGCCCTGCTGAAGTGCACGAGCTGTTCAGGTGCTGGATAAGCAGAGTCAAACTGACATGATTGTGCTTCCTGTAAAGTGCTGTGGTTTGTTTCTGTTTGTTTGTTTTGTTTTTGGGGAGGGTTTCCCACGTCTGTCAACACCCTACGTGTCCAGTGATGCATACCTATCGCCTCCTGTAGAAATGATGTGTTCATACAGTTTATCTCTGTCAGCTTATGTACCAAGGTGGCATGGTTCTGTTTGAGCGCTTTTGCTTACTGATAGATCTGTGCTTTCAATAATAGGTGAGAAGCCCCAGCCACTGAAGACAGCCAAGAAAAGGAGTTATGGCAGTGCATTTAATCCTCACAGTTCAGTGAATCTGCAAGAAAACGATTCTGCAGCCACCAATATCGATCCAAAGAAGGATCACAATTACAGTGTTAGCAGTGTGGCTTCACAGCGCTGTGCATCTAGATCCAGCGTGTCTTCCTTGTCCTCAGTTGATGAGGTATATGAATTCATCTCCAAGACCAGCCATGCAGGAAGTGACAGCAGTGAAGGATTTCACAGTGAAGTGGATACAGACGTTGACTATGAAGATGACCCGCTTGGAGACAGTGGCTATGCATCACAACCTTGTGTAAATACCTCTGACAGGGTTTTCAAGGAGTTATGTCAAGAAATAGATGAGGAGCTGAAAGAGGCAGCTGGTTCTCTGCTCCACCTGGCTGGAATCCACACATGTTTGGGTTCCTTAATAAGTACTGCAAAGGCCCACAGTCAGAAGCAGAGGAAAAAATAGTTATACCTGGTAGTGTGAATATATACTTATATTTTTTTTAAGTGTGGCAATACTCTTCTACTTTTACCCTTCACAAGGGAGATCAAAGCCATAAGAGGACTTGTTTGCTTTTTATTTTTGGCGCTAATTATAGCTTGGCCTTTTGTTTTTAAATCATTGGCTAGAAGATTTTATTTAATCATTTCAGATTAGAGGAGATGCCTGACTGGGGAAAACCCAATGGTATCCTTCTTAATGGTGATTGATTTGAATATTTGATTACTTCCTGAGAGATTAATTGGTTCAGATGCACATTATGAATAATTTTGCTCTGTACTAACCCTCCACACACACACTCAAGGGGAAATATCACCCAGGGTCGAGGGAAGACAGCTTTTCCATCTCTTCCCATAATACAAATAACTTTTACTGGTGAGACAGGTGAAAAGCTGCCATTTTGCGTGCCTGCGTGCGTGCGCGCGTGAGGGGGTCATTTTTCCCCAACTATTGAATATTCAGTAGTTGTTAGCAAAAGGTTCTTGTTGAATTCCTCCAGCCCCTCTCCCCCCACCAGCCCCATGTAGAAGTTACTGTCTTAAAAACCCCCCACAGAGTTCAGGCTATGCTGTCTTGTTGCATGAATGAATGAGGTGGGGATTCTAGATGGCTAAATTTTTAAGTGATTTCTGGGAACAGAACTTATGACACATTTAGGAAAAGCAAAACATAATAGTTTCATTTTGAAGATTAAGAAAACTGATTTAATAACTGTAATGTCTAAAGAGACCCTATGAGTGTTGCAGTGTTGGCTGCCATACTGCCCTTTTTCTAAGTCTACTGATTACTGTGTTTCAGCCTCATGCTATATGGACCACTTTAGCAACCATTGAAATACAGTGTTAACCTATAAGCAAGGTATGTTTAGGGCCTTCGGTATGCACTGTAACACAGAAGACCTCTTTACTTTGATGTGGGGGAAGCTCCTTAAAACTCATCATCTTTGCAATAAAAGAACCTCTTTAAAATACCCAAACTTCCTGTGCCCAAGAATGTTAGTCATCAAATATAAGATTTTTTTTTAAATAAAAAAGCTGAGTGATGACTGCTTGCATCTTACTATAGAAGATAGCATTTTGTAGTGTTTTGTGAAAAAAATGGGTATGCAGACATATTAGACTGGGTTTAACAGTACTTTAATTAAAAGAATGCCTTAAGTATATTTCAGAATTGTACAGAACTAAACATCGGTCATCTTGCCTGTTTCTGAGAGGCAGTAGGATGTGCCATTAATTTTTTTTTTTAGTAATATGTTAAACTATTGCTTCCAGTATGTGTTGGGCAAGATGGTTTAGTATTAGAAGCAAATATACCCATGTAGGAACCCATGTCCACTGTTTTTGATTGTTGAGAACAAGGCTGGATTTAAAAAAAAAAACCCTGAAACTTAGTGATAGAAAATATTTTTCTGGCCACTTGGAAATAAGGTGCTTGTAGTTCAGTGTTTTTCTTATTTATCTGTCTCTTCCTGCATATTGCCCTGTAGCTTTCCCAGCTAGTTAACATGTTTATACAGTGGTACTGCTTTGAAGGTCTCCTGTTCTGAGGGCCCATTCCAGTGCCTGTTGAAGACAATGACAGTACTCCATTGATTTAATGGCCATTGGATCAAGCCTTAATATGTTAAGGTTTACATAGTGTGAGTTTGGTATTTAAAAAAGACAGCTTTAAAAACTGCAGAAAGCTCCTTTTGGTTACTCATTAGTTTTATGCATGGAAGGGTAAAAAGAGAAAGAAATGATCTCTCTTTCATGAACCTGTGTCTGCACACACCCACCAATCCACTCGCAGAGAAGGAAATATTGTATACAACCATGCTTCTTCCTGCATCTCTGATAGCCTTAACTGCTATTGAACAAGCTATTGATTACATAAGGTAATTAATGATCTCAAAATGTAAAACAAAAAAACAAAACCCCTAATAACCCATTAATTTTAAGCACAAATATTGTGGTTCAGGGGATTTCTTCATAATGCAATGTAGATGTTGATGCCTAAGGACATTGCTTTCACTGATGTTTACCCATATACCTGTTAATAGTGTCTAATACAAAGCATATTTGTTACAGCAGTGCAATCACGTTTGACCTGTGGAGAAGTATCTTTAATCCATTGGAATTTCATTCAGAACCACAAGTGAGATTCCAAGGAACTGAACAAGTGGGTCACACAGTACTTGCTCAAATCAGTCCCAGGCTTTCTGTTAACTTGGAAGGAAGCTAGATCCAGCCCCACTTATTCAGATACTGGCAGTCTGTTCATACTTGTTGTCTTGATATGTTTGCCAAAGTAATAATGTTAACCTTTTCAAATGTGGCCCTTTGTTTCCCAACAGAATCAGTGTAGCTAAAAGTAACAAGGTTCCATGCTTAATAGAGGCCTGACTGTGCCACCATTGACACTGAAATCAGTGGTACCCCTTGGCATGTGTGAGAGTGGCAGGCAGGCCACAAATTACTGCTATATTTCAGTTTCCATATGCAAAGACAAAGCAATAAAGTCATTATGTCATTAACAAAAAGCTAAGGCTGAAAGGACTTCACTTGAAGCTCTAAGGAAGCAGATTGAGAACAGTGTGGTGGGGCTGGTGCTAGAATTCTCCCTTCTCAGCCTGGAAATGTGGCTTAGGCCACACGTATAGCAGCAGTCTATGCTACACTCTTCCCCAGATAGTTACGTATTGCTGGTAACCAACCTATCAATGGCTACTAAGCAGATTGGTTACCTGCTGCTAACCAATTGCCCCCATGTTCCTTTATATTCCAATGGGATGGAGGCATCCCAGTGCTCTCCCAGTTTCTAAGGGCTATGGAGTCCCTCTGTGGCCTCTTGCTTTTCAGCGCTCAGCACCTCCTGCTGCAGCAGAGGTCAACTTAACTGTTCTCTTGTTGAGAAACCCTCTTTATATTTACCCGAGATGGCTTCCTTTCTTTTCACTTGCACATTGTTTCCTTCTTTGAGTTCAGGATCCTGTTGTATATAAATATAAATTAGTATAATTGAGCATTGTTTTAATTTTGTCAGCGACATTATGTAAAATGTTCATACCAAATGGTAAGTTTAAATTAAACACATGCAATTCTTAAAAATTAAATGGAGAAGTAAGTGTATGAGACCTGTTTTACCAGGGGGGCTGCTCTATTTAAGATAAATACTGATGTGAATACTGTACAAAGCTGTATCAGTTTTTCATACTCCAGTACTAAATTATTGCTTTTGTGAAAGTCACATCATACGTTTTAAAATCCAACTTTAAAATGGAAGTTGTATGGTTTGCAACTTTTTTGTTAGGCTAAAAAGTGAAAGCTTTGGTTAAAGCAAAGCACACTCAAACATGTTAATAATGGTGTAGTCAAAATATTTATTGAAAGAAAAAGTAGAGTATTTTAAATGTTGCACCTGCCATTATTTCTTAAAGCACATTCTTCACATTTTAACTGCCAGTGCCATTTATCAAGCCTGTTTTATAAATGTACATTTCTTCAAACTAAAAAGTGCATAATTAAAAGTATTATGTTGCCATCATATAGTGATATAAAACATTTTATAATTGCCAATTCATTGTAACTATTATTTATTTAAAAGTGAATTTGTGACAATGCTTCTGATCAAACCAACCAGAATTGTTTTTAAAAATGTTCCCTTAGCTTGTTTTCTGATGTAGCATATAAGGAATGTCCTTGGGTTTGTTTAGAATAACTCTGCCATTAGGTGACCAATCCTAACCCTTGTCCCTCAAGTTTAGACCACTGCCCATTTTAAAGACAATTTACAGAAGTTTAGTTTTTTGTATGCTAACCTCTGTTAATTAAAATGTTTATAAAGTTTATTTTTACCAAAGAGATGCAATTCATTATGATAAAATATTGCAAAATAAAATTTGTTTTATAACATTTGTGATTGATTATTTTCTGCATATTTTGTTACACATATTAAGAGTGCTTGATGAAAGTAAACAGCTTCAAGCATGGGAAGCACCACTGTGGTATCTATTTTTTCCATCAAATAAGGTCCAGATCTCAAGCAAGACTCAGTGCTTTCAAATCCCATGAAGTCAGTGCCTCATAGAATTGGACCCTTTTTTAAAAAGAAAAGAAGTGTTTGCTTCTTTTTTCTTTCAAGAATTTGAAATCAGTTTAACAGACCTGTAATTGCTTTGATTGCTTTTTATCCCTTACTTAACTGTAAGTACAGCATTTAATATTTTCCAGACACATGACTTGATAGGATTTAATGAGTCTATCAGACATGATTCCATATGCCTGGTTGTCTTGTATGCTAGGATGGAAGTTATCCAATCCCTCTGAAGCTTGAGTACATTTAACTCTTTGAATTTCCCTTTACCTTGGTTGTGGTAATTTCCATATGAAGACCTTTATTCCCATGAATTATTTTGCCCCTAAGTTCATCACTGTCCTTAGTAAAAACGGAGACAGAGCAGTAGTTTACTTCTTAGGTCACACCTGTGCTGTCTTCAGTCTTGATGCCATCCTCACTGCATAGCAGCCCTGCTTCTTTCCTCCGTTTACCACATTTACTCAAATCCAACCTGAGATGTTTTCCCCAGTCAACAAGGGGAGGGGAGTGGGGGGGATGACTTGTCTTAGATTCAAGTACTGTCCTGAGGCACGCAGCAGCTCAGCTTTGTGTTTGGCCCTGGGGCCAAAGCTGGATGCTGCAGGCTGGGATGGCAAAGCATCAGGGGAGGGCGGCCATGGGAGGAGTGCTGGGAGAGATCATGTACAGGGGGTTTGGGCATGTGTGGACGGGGCAGGGGGGTGCACAGGGGAGACCTGCAGTGTGTAACTTGGGAGGAGTGTGGGAGGGATGATGCAACCTGCCCACCCTGCTGCCTCCCTGCTCTTCCCCATCCTTCCCGCCACTTACCTTCAGGTCCAGTTCTGGTTCTGATCTGGCCAGGGCCATTGCTGCTGGCTGCCTCTGAGTCAAAGCAGAGTTGCCACAGACAGTAAGTGGTGGGGAAATGGGTAGCGGGAGCAGTACAAGCCAAGCACAGGCATGGGGGGGGGCAAAGGACAGGGCATAAGGGGAAGCTGGCAAAGGGACAGGGCTGGGGGCAAGTGGCTAGGGTGTAGGCACAGGTCAGGCAGGGCAAAGGCTGGAGGAGCAGACAGGGAGGGCAAGCATTTGGGGGGGGCACAGGGTGGAAATCTGGCCCCCTGCCTCCCATTGCTGCTTTCCCTGCCACAGTGGTGGTTAGGGAGAACATTTAAGATGATCCTCCTAATGAAATCCTATCCATGGAAGATTCATATAACATTTATAACTTTCCATATGTAGAACTTATTGGAGGAGTTGGGGAAGTCATCTTTAATTCATAGTTGTCTTGGATTCAGGTAAACATGGTACATGGCTAAAGGGCCACCTGCTATGTCCTGTCCTAACAAAAGATCCAATTGGCAACGTACAAAGACAAAAACACACAATAGCTGTGGCCACTCAGGCAGCTAGTAACAAAAATAAATATAGTGGCTAAACATTGAGACCAGGCGCTTAGCAGCCTCAGGTTGTAGATAAATTAACCCACAGGGAAGTTTTCAGATGCACCTTGGGTGCTTATACACGTGATCCAGGAGTGTGGGAGGGTGGGCTGCTTTAATTAGTGTGGCTCCAAGAGCCTCTCTAATTAAAGCACACATAGCATCTCATGTACCAGTGTTCCCGGTTTAAAAATAGTGGCAGTGTCGCTTTAAAGCTCATTCAATGAGCCTTAAAGTGCCCTGCCACCATTTTTAAGCACAGGGATGCTGATGCATGAGACACTGGAGTCTGCTGGAGCGTGGTGGTTACCATGCTCCAACAGACTTGGTTAATCAAGCCTCCTCCAACACACTGCAATTGCAGAACATCGGAGCAGCCTTGCTGCTCGTGTGTTGGGTGTCAAATTCCCATTGATTATCATGGGAAGTTGGCACTTATGAGGGGTTTTTTGTTTTGTTTTTTTAAACATGCACATTAGGTGTCTATGTACAATTCTAAGCACCTAAACTCCTTTAAAAATCTGACCTTATGTGCTTCATCTCACATTTGGAGGAATTGAAATAAATGCAAGGTTCTATTTGTATTGATGATTAATGAAGTGGTGTCAGTGGGCTCACAATAATTTTAATCTTCAAATCAGCCCAACAAATGAGAACTGGGGTCACCAGGAAGAAATGTTGCTCTCTGGATTCTCTAGGGCCATATGTGTTTTCTGCTTGCTGCCCAGGAGATTCCAATCTCCACACACGTTGATGGTCCTCCCAGCACATTAGAAATACGTCTTTTAGTGCCTGTGTCAGAGGTGAAAGATGAAAAAAAGCACTGGAATTACTTGAAGTTGGCTGTGGTAGAGTTGTGAAATGTCTCATTTTTTAAAATGCTTTGTGGCACCAAGAGTAGAGGCTGCTATCTTTTCCAATAGTAGATAATGTTTAGTTGTGCCCATATAATGGTTTTTAAGTCAAAAGCAGCTGTTTTTCACTAGATCTACATGCACCTTGATATCAACTTCAATGCAATTGTGTTAGATGCTCTCTTAAAAATAATGATCCTACTGTGCAGCATGATGTCACTTTGACCCAATCATAGCCCATTTTCCAGGAGCATAATGTTAACTCCCCAGAGAAGTGTGCAGTGAGTGATAGCAGCATCCCATGCAGCAGTCGCTAGGCAACAAGATTCAGCTTTCAGCAAGATCTAATTTTAAAGCATTTAACCCTAGAACTGTCAGGACTCATTATTTTTACGTGTTTATTAACTTCTACTTGTTAGTTCTTTCAGAAGAATCCTACCTTTGCAGACAAACTGATTTTAGTGAAATTGCTCTTCAGTTAATAATTTAACTCATCTTGTATTGAAAAGTACTGAAAATACGTTGGCAGATAAGTCTTGAATTCCACTGTCCTTAATAATAAATTCTACATGCAGAAACAAACAAAGGGCATTTTTACATGTGCTGTGGGTTGTGGCACCAGGCACTTTAATTAGTGAGCCATCATAATTAAAAGCTCCAGTGCATCGTGTATCAGCATCCCCACACATCCCCATGCTGAAAAATGGCGGTGGGGTACTTTGAACTAAAACTCATCAAATGTGTTTTATTTCAAAATGCCCCACTGCCATTTTTCAGCACAGAGACATGCTGGGACGCTGATATATGTGACATGGAAGGCTGCTGGATCACAACAATTTCCGTACCCCAGAAAGCTTGATTCTGCTCCACACATGTGTATAGGAGCCCAAGATTGCGGGTGGAAGATTGGTTTTATTGTATTTTGAAGAAGCTCTTCTTTCCTGGCACTGCAACAAAGTTAGGAAACACCCACGCCATTTCTAAGGAAACATATATTTCAAATCAGTGACTGGCTATGGGAAGTGAGAGTTGGGTTGTGGGGGGCAGAGAAAAATAATTTAAAATTATTATTCTAAATTGTACTGTGGTCTCTTTTGAATCCCAGATGAACTGTTCTATCAGTAGGCTAAACAATAAAAAGTCCTATTATCAAAAAAAATTTAGGTAATTTGTGTGCTATGTTGAAATTCAGCTTGGTATGCTGCACAGCCGTGCTTACCATTAGTCTGTCCTTAATAGTTTGTAGATGTTTGCTTTATTGTTTAAAATGGTTGAACTGCCCATGTAGCAGGGCAGTTTGTCCCCTTAAGAACTGGGAACAGCCAGCCAGGGCAGGCAAGCCAACCTTAAGATGAAAGGGATCTGCTGAAAAGGGCAGGGCCCAGCTGAGAAACTTAACAGTGTTTCAAGATGGATGGTGAGAGAAAAGGGAAGGAAAAGTCTGTGAAGATTCAGTTCTACAGCAAAAGAGAATTTGGGTGGCATCAGCTCTTGGCTGCCCCTCCTGCCATCTCTTGTCCCTATGATCTGGAAAGGGGAAGGTGACTCTTGGGTTTGTTGGATTCATTTATGTTTTATGAATAATCTTAGCTGAAGAGGTTGTACCCAGGACCAGGGTGGAGCGCACGATCACTGCCCACATTGTTGAATGAGTGACCAGGCTACACTCAAATCTTGATGAGTGGTTTTATTTTATTTCATTCAA